GACTATAAATACTTCCTGAAAGATCTCTAACAGAGTCAGAGGAAATGGGAAAAAAATGAGATGCAGCTACAGAGAAACCATTTCAGATGTTTCTTCTTTAAAGGGCTGCTTTTTTCTTTCCCAAAGTGGCTGAGGGACGAGATGCAGAATCCAAGACCTCCACCAACTTCAATATGAGATGTATGATACAATTATATGCATTAAATTTAATTCTGTAGATACTCCATTAAGACATTGCTATCAAAAGATGGTTGGAAGTGGGACACAGTGCCAAAGCACTCAAATACTTCCATCCATTCCCCTGTAGTGACCACTGAAAAATCACATTTAAAGCAAGATCCCATTCTCTGTGCTTGAACCTTCCAGTGCTGCTCCTTGTGCTCCTGCTAAATGCAGCGGTAATACTTCTACCGACTGCAGCGAGGCAGGTTTTACCTCAAAGGTATATTATCCTTCTGGCCAAGAACGGAATGTTTAGAGAAGTCTTTCGGAAATCACAAAGGCCAGTTTCCACTGCTTTGCAGCTATGTGGCATCTAACTCTGTGGATAACAGGAGTCGGTACTTTATAAAAGGAGAAACAATGCTTCACCACTAGGAATTGTGTGTGATATTTATTATACCAGTATTAAATCAATTACATGTAAATTTACTGATACATGCATACCTATTGCTTATTTTTAAATCAGCTCTGTCAATCAGCCACATAGAGAATGCAAAACAGGGAGAGGGCAAATAACTTCTGATTTCCTCTCTCTCCCAAATTTAAAGCCATATAACCAGCTCCAGACAGAACACTATATGAAATATCAGAAGTATAAATATCACAGACAAAAAGAAAATAACTCTTCTTAAAGTTCAATGGAAACTTTCTCGAAACGCCATGATTTCCTGTAGTGTGTAAACAGTCTGTGTGCAAAATAGTCTTGATTTAACAGAAGAGCTGATTTTATCCTTTGCCCCATATAAAAGCTCATAGCAAAGGTTAACATAACTTCAGTTAGATATTTAACATTACAGCCTGTAGCCTGCCTTTGATAAAAATCACCAGCATCTCTGCAACAATTTGACAATCTCTCTCCCTCGGACTGTACGCAAATGCCCCTGTTCCATCAATTGCAAGAGGCATCTCCCTGTTGCCTTGAGATCTACGCAGCACCGCAGGACACCCTGATCCGTGCTATTCTGCATCTGCATCAGCTAAACGACCATGCAAGGCAGCAGTGTTTACCAATACCTTTAGGTGAGCTAACTAGGTCTGTGTATAGGTCTCAAGCCTCAGGCTGCCATTCCTAATTTTGTGGAAAACTTTGTTCTGCAGTGTCCACGCATACAAAAACAGGACACTTCATTTGAAATCAGTTTAGCAAAAAGTTCCTGCTGTCCAAGATCTGCATTGTCAAAGCATTAAACAATCTCCCTGGCCTGGAGTCTGCTGGCTGCCAATGTGCTACCCAAAAAAAAAAAAAAAAAAAAAGGAACATTTTTGCATCTCAATAGACCTTCCAGTATCAACAAATCTTTAAACTATAAAATCAGCTACTCTAAGGAAGAGCAGAAATAATGTCTACATTGTACCACGCTGAGGTACATTTTTTGTAGTTCCCATTTGCAAAAACATACCAGTTCGCTGTAAGTACAGCTGCTGGAAACATTTTAATAAGAAAAATAAATTAAAGCTACTCACAGAAGTCTACCAAGCCCCTGAGAAAGATTCTGTTACATACACACAGCTTGGAAGTGCTCTCGGGGAAAAAGGTGCGTCCACTGCACATGTGCGTTTGCACACATGCAGAGTTCAAGCTATCGTCACTGCACCATCCCCAGCTCCCCGAAAGGTCACAAGTGATTCGGTTTTTTAGCTGCTAATAAGGAAAGAAATCCTACCCTAATGACTCCCACGAATAATCTCCTGTAGCACGGAGTCTGGGGAGGGAACATGTCCATCATGCGGGGAAGGAATGCAAGAAAGCACATAAATGGCTTACACAACATGCAAACCTGAAAAACACCCCAAGTAATGTCCAAAAGTTTACAATTATCCTGTAGGCATTAGGGATTTCTGTGGGCAATTGTAGATTTTCACCCCTTCCCTGGCTGGTCTGTATCATCTTTGATATTTTATTAAAATGCTAATCCCTCCTAAACTCAGTATCTAGAAAACCCACTTGCAGCATTAACCTCTCTCTATATGAAAAAATGTGAAAAACATGATCTCCCCTTTCCCTTCCCCCAGTGAGAGAACTAAAAAATGAAAAGCACATGGTATTACTGCTACTGTCAAATCATTACAAATCATTTGTAATAAGCAGAACCACTTTATAAATACTGAATAGCCAGTAAAACCAAAGGGATGTATTAGATTTTTTTTCAGTCCATTTCTCACAGTATTTATTCACTGAGTAATCCCAAATTTTTGGCTTCCTCTGCGTCAGTCTTTTGGGGAAAAAAAAAATGAAGGTGTCCAGAGTAATTTTATTATAGGTTTTGTTTCCTAGTCACCAGTCATCCTGGGATACAGTATTTTGTATGAGCATTCATTATATGATACCAGAAGTATGTATTGATTTAACACTTTGCTTTTACAAAGGCCCAACTTTTAGCACAACATTAGCTATTTCTACCAGCTATTTCATATTAGAAAAATAAATGCCTCCAAAAGTGGATAATCAGGAGACATTTGCTTAACAATACATAGGTTTGTTTTGTGTTTTTTTTTTTCTTTTTATTTCAAAGGATTACAAAAAATTAGCTTTTTTCCAGAATGGAAGGAAAGTTCTTTTCTGAATGATTTCTAATTCTGTCTGGGCCAAGTGAGCTTCCAGGCATACATATAACAAATATGTATGTCAGATAATACACTCAACTCCCGCTGGTCAAGCTGACCATTACTTTGTCTTCTTATTTCCTGGCTCCAGGACTGCGTCCCATAACTCCAGCTACAGAAAGCTAAATCAAGAGCAAATAAAGGAGTTAGGTTTCTGTGAACTTTTTCACAGATCCAGGAGAACAGGGAATTAATATCACTCACGGAATCACACTCCTTCATCTTCCACCATCTCCTATCCTTCAGATCAACCCTTAGCTTCAAGAAGCTTGAATTCTGTTTTCCTCTATCCATCAATAGTGATGAAATATATATGATTAGGGACTTTTTTCAGCAGATGTAGAAATCTTTTTTTTTTAGTATTTCAAACTGACAAAGGCAACTTGCCCAATTTTCAAAAAAATAAAAGTGAAAATTAAAATACTGTAACTAAGGAAAAGACCTAGACAAACAAGTCCTTGGCACAACAGAGTTCAAAGATCAAGGTTGCTAAAAGTGAACACAAAAGTAATTCTTCTTTGAAGGGTGTTTTTTCACCAGGCAGTATAGACCTAATCCACTAATAAATCCTTTTACAAACCTTATAAAAGAGAAATGGGTTGTACACACTTTAAAATGCAAGGAACTAATTTATATACACTGTTAATACACAAAAAGAAGAATTTTTTTTTTTTCAGAAAACCATGAAAATTACAGGTACTTCATATTTCTGAATATCCAGAAGGGTTCTAAATATTTCCAAAGTGATAAAAATACTTATTTGAAAAAAAAAATAGTGCTTTTGCATAAAGACTTTTTAAAAGTGTCTGAACTTATTTTAAAGGGTGGCATAAAAAGTAGCCAATGTACAGTTTCCCCTTCTTTACTGACTGATGGCTAAAATAATATCATGGCCTTATTTTGCCACTTACTAAGATTTTAGGCTCCAGGTACTAATAAAATTTAGAACTCTATAAAGCTGATTCTGTATACTACCATGTCCCTTTGCAGATTTTTGTTTAGTTGGTTTTTTTCATTCTTTGGTAGTCAAAAAATAAATGAAAATTATTTGTATTCTGATAACCCACAACATAAATGGCTCCTCTGGCCATTATTTCTGTGCACTGCTAAGAACCACTGCAAGAATTGAAGTGGGATGTAACTAGCATCATATGTACAGCACGAATTCCACTGCTAGTCAGATATACGTATACATTTTTATACGTATTTCCAAAAGGAGGAGACAAATATAACCCTGCCATTCACAGCGAGCACACACCCAGGTTTGCAACGGGGAACCTGTCATACTCCAACTGCTTCTCATGCACTTAAGATATGACAACAAAAATTATTCATGACTTGTAAGATACAAAAGACTTTGATCTCCCTAAATTGCATGCAGGCTTTAAGTGGCAGACACATTATTTTATAATTAGAGTAACTGCAATATTTTTAAGACCACTGACTTCATTTTAAAAGAGTTTGTAAGAGACATATATGTATACATTGACAGATATACCTATATATAATCTTAGCAGACCATGGAATAAAATATTTATCTTGCCTTTTGTCCTCTTCTGACATGTTGTTCACTCCTACAGTAATGGATGTTATGGTTATAAATGTTCTTATAAAAGACAATAAAGAAAAATAGCTGATCACCACTTCCATTGTAGCGAGGCTTGTCTGTGGACTAACTGCTCCTGTAGCAAGTTTCTAGAAGTTCAGAAGGGAGCAGCCCCTGAAAGCATACAGTGACGACTCCAGGAGAAAGACACTTATTTGGCTCCCTGTTCATCTCCTCAGAATTTGAGAGCTTTTCTAACCTCAGATTTATCTACAGTGGGAAAAGCATACCTTGATGTAAGGGGAAGTTTGTTATATATAGGTCTTTTTGGTTTTTTTGTTTTTTTGGTTTTTTTTAAAAAAAACAGAATAGGAGTTCTTTGGTGTGACAAATATTCTCCTTTTCTTATCACCTGAGCTCCTTCCTTTTATCTTTTTTCTTTTTCTTTTGCTTCCAAGGCAACCAGAGAAGTATCAAAACTGATATATAATTATGTTGCTTCACAAAAAAAAAAAGGTTAGTTTTTATTAATATTTAACTCAGGTTTCACATTCTTAGATATTTAATAATGTGAAATCTTGCTTAAGTGTGAACTGTCACACCACCACAAAATGTAAGAGGTGATTAGTTACTTCAGTGTAACAGATGTGCAGCCTTCTGGGGTTGTAAACCTTCCTTCTTCAAATGCATCATCAACCTGCACAATTAGCAGGCATGATTAAACAAAATTCAACCAGAGCTAAATAGTGAAACAGAAGCACTTGCTTACTAATACTATATCAATACATACACTGTTTGTGCAAACACTTTGGAACATTTACCTGCCAGTTTAGCTTTACAAGTTTGAGTCTTTCAGCCTTTCCTTGATTCTTTTTTCCCCCATGCATGAAAAAAACCCCAACCACATTACTCTGGAACTGAAGAAATCATTTGCATGCCTAATTAAACATAACATACTTGTAATCATAAAAAGCAAGGAGAAAAAAAAAAAAGAGAGCTTCCTACCCGTAATAAGGACTGGGATTCATCCTTTGCCTTGCTCTCCCCGGATCCAGGGTAGGGCTGGGTGAGCTGCCCGGCTTTCTCCGCCGCTCCGGCTGGCACGCCCTGCAGGAAGCCCTTGCTCTCCACCGCCAAGCCGTAAATGGGCCGTGCAAGATGGGCAGCTTCTACGTTTGGACTATCCCTTAAAGGCTTTGGCTGCTCTTGGCCAACGGACACTGGGGTCAATAAGCCTAGACTGGTCTGTGTATATGACGGGCTCCCCCTCAAAATGTCTGTTCCTCTCCAGGACACGTTGCGAAGATCATCACTGGGACTGTCAGTCCAGCCTTTCTCCTTGAGCACTTCCTTATCTTCTATCTTTTCCCTCTTCACTATGCTGTCAGATACGGGCTCCCCCATTTTGGGGTCTGGATTAATCAGACTGTAGACCTTGACGTCAATTTTTGGCTCCTCCTTGATAGATGAAACGCCATGACTGTCCTCCCCGTTGGCTGTAGTGACGTCCATCTCCTGACAGTGCACAGTGTTGAAGTGCTCTAGTAGTGACTGAGTGTCAACAGCGGTGAAGCTGCACTGACGGCATTTGTAGCAGTTGTGTACTCTCCTGGAGGAAAACGAGAAGTGCGTTAACATGAGAGCCTCTCCTAGGCCTTCCCTCTCGCAGTGCTTCTACCTACCAAGACAAAGAAAATAAATTGACCGTACAATACGATTCCCTCTAAACAAAGCAAGCAGCTTTACTTTGGTGTCTCATACAATATGGGAAAGATCCTGCTGGTTTCCCCCCCACACTGCAATGGCCTCCTATTGCTCACTCACACTCCACTGCATTATTCTGAACTTCATACAATTTTCAGTGGCATTTTGTGTTTTTTCTTCTTCAGTTTGCTGCAATACACTTTTCACTTCATAGTGTCATAGAAACACTGAAGTAACACATCTTTTCAAACACAATCAAATAGTTATAAAAGCATGGTTTTCTTTGTATTAAAAACCACTTTATATAAAAAACCCACTTTGTATAACATAATTCTATGCTAGAAAGTTCAAATGCTTAAAAAATGTCTTTGCTTTCCAACAATGTAATATCTTTTTGGTTGACAACGATAATTTTGAATGGAGCTCTGGTTAACTTACAGATAAGAATGCACAAAAGGACAGAAGGTTGTACACAACAGAGAGTACTTACTTGTTCTCTGTGGACATTTTAACACAACTTTTAAAAACCCTGCTCTAAAGAAGAAGCAAAATAGTTGACTCTGTCCCTACAAACTGCATTTTCCTGTCAAATTCAGAAAAGCTTGGGTATGAGCAGTGGAGCAGTGTGGAATAACATGCCCTCCTGTTTTTATTCTAAAAGACTATATAAAGTACTGTATTACTAAATTATGTAAAGCATATGTTGCTACATGAGAACAACATGTTACCCATTTACTGTATCTGTCATAGGAATAGAACACTGTTTACGAGCTCTGTAACGCCATTATGAATAATTGTTTATAGCACAGGAGCGGTCAGAGCCCTCTGTCAGGCTCCGGGCCCCGCTGCGCCCGGCATCGTACCAACGCAGAGTAAAATACTGTCCCTGCCCTTCATCAAAATGTACATAAATCTGCAAAAGCTGCTCTCTACAGACACACTCACACATCCACACCCCAGGCATTCAGAGTCACAACAGCATCTTTAGCCAAGCTAAAAACCTAGCCTTTCGCTATCCACACAGGACAAAATTTGTATGAGAAATCCGTTACTGCCCTGACAACTCCAATTGTTAGAATTAATTCCTCTGAGGCCAAATCCTGGTCTCAGTGAAGTTGATGGCAAAACTCCCATTGACTTCAGTAAGAGCAGGATTTGGCTCTCGGTGCATCTGTATAACTGGAATGATACACAAAATGTCCCCTTTAGAGTACGATAGTTTAGAAGGGACAACTTGCCAAACTTATTAAACCCCCTTGTCTTCCTTCTTTCCTTTTGCTGGAAAAACAAACCATATGTTATTTACATTGTCTGATTTTCTTGCAGTTGTGTCAGTGCACAGACATGAGCACATATTCAGATTCAAGCTTTTTAGCCCTTGTGCAATATCAGTTTTCTTTTTGTCATTTTCCATATTTATATTCATTTTAAGGGACTAGATGGGCTCGTTCAGTTATGCAAAAAATAGAGTCAGCTATTCTCCACATAGCCTTATGGCAACAAAATCTACTTGTGGGAGAGCAAGCTGTGGGTTAAAATCCTGTTCTGGCTGTGTTCCTTTTTCTTCATTCTACAATTGTGTTTTATTAAAATCAGCTTGTCTCTCAATGCGACACTAATATATTCTCTCTTGCAACTTAATTCTTTTCTAAACCAAGCTTAATTCTCTTCTGAACTGGGGAAAAAAAAAAAAAGAAAAAAAAAAAGAAAAAAAAAAGTGCTATCTGATCAAAACCATTTTAGAAATACAAACAGCCAAGTTATAAAGAGGGTCAGCCCTGTAAAGGTGGGATACCATCAGGGAAGTCCAAGTTAGACAGGGGCTAGTTATCTTAAAAGCCAAGTTAAACAAGACACCATTT